AAAAGAAATTGCATATTTGGAGGACCAGTTGTCGTTTTTAGGTCACAACTCACTTATCTGAATATAATTTTCATCTGAGCTGCATGGCATGGCTTGTATGTGTTGGAAGAAGCTGCATTCTCACAGCAGGATGCCAAATTAAAATGAAGCAGTCTGATGCAGGTGCACAGCAATAGAAAGGAGCTATTTTAACCTGAAGCAGGAGAAATGGGACAAGAAAGCAGAAACAGCCTACTTCTGTCCCTTGTCTGCTTCTCTCCTACTCTTTCCCTCCCCCATAGCTGTGCCAACAAATTCACAAGGGGGCTGAAGAGGAGGCGTTCCATTGATTTTACTGAGCTGCTCTGCCTGATGCTGATGGGCTGTGGAAGATTTTGTTACACAGGTTGTGTCCTCTTAGAGCTGTCTAATCTATACCTTGTGCTAAGTTCCTGCTTGCATAGCCTCAAGCCACTGGAGTGGTCAGGTTCCCTGTTTCTTTCCTGAGCCATAAAATGAGTCAGACACACTGTGGAGTGACTGATACCTATTTGATATAAAAGATGTTACTAAATGTTACTCCACTGCTGTACTTCTGTACATCGTTATCACGTCAGATTTTTTCTGTAGGATAAATAAAATTGAAATTAAAGCTCATAAAAGATTTGATTACTAATTATGAGATTTGCAAACTACCTGGCAATTGTTACAGCGTGAGAGGGATAGAACTTGTACATTAACTGTGTTATGTTCAGTGAAAACAAGTTTACTTTTTATAAACAATGAGATCAATTTGTCTTAATATGGAGGAGATTGCCAGGCCATTTTTTTTTTTTTGCTATCATCTGTTATTCTTCTCACACTATCCTCCATACAGAAAAAAAATCCAAATTCTGTAGAGGAATTCTTCCCAAGTGAGATGTCAGTGCTGACTTTACACCACTGCAAATGCTTTGTCACAATTATAGTTCTCTGAGAGCTGGAACTCGTGCATACCTGTCGAAACAGATGAGAGAGTAGGAATAAAAATAAGATACTGAATTACTTTTGCTGGTATGTGCCTGAAAAAAAAAGAAGACATCAAAGGTTATTATAATTATGACTGTTATTAGATATCATGTCTGGTTTCTGCATATTTACATTTTCTCTGAAAGAGCTGAAACTTCGACATTTAGAGATCCCAGGGGGATAATTGCAGAAATGATGACATATATTCCACTTCTTGAACAAATTTTAATACCAAAGCTGCATTCTGCCCACTTACATTTCTTCTTAATTATAGTTGGATGCAAAGATAGTCATTTTCTGTTGTAAGAATGTGTGTAGCCAATTAGTGTTGTAGATCATGAATACCCAATGGCTTAACTTACCAAATAGAATTGTCCTTTTCTGTTATGACAGAAGAGTTTGCAAATATCTGAATATTGTCTTTCTTTGTGAGGTCAGCCTTGGACAGAAGTACAAATCAAGTAACTGGAGAAAATGAACAATGTTGAACTTATTTCTCACTCCTTATAGGATGGCTGAGCTTTTAGTCTCATATGTATGTACTCTAAATTGGTGTAGGCTGTTCTGCTGCTCTTCATTTCTTGCACACATTTTTAATGCCATACTTTTGATGCTCTATGATTAATTCAGTCTTCCTATTTTCCTCCCCCTTCCAAGGAATTCTGAGCACAGAAAAGTTTTCTGTCTAGCTCACTGAGATGCAGGGACCTGTGCTCCTTTTGCTCATGGAAGCAAAGGAAAACTGGCAGTGTTTCTGAAGAAACCTCTGCTCATAGCAAATGATCAAACACGGGTATTCTTTTCTTCTTCCCTTTGATTTATTTTTTTTCTTTAATACCATACTTGCCACTCTGACATCTGAGAGCATAAAGATAACGTGTGTAGTTTAGAATACCTCCCTGGCAGGATTCACAGGGACAATGAAGGCAGAGTGTTATGACCAGAGAGAACCAGGGAACCACAGGACAGTTGAGAAATGAGTTACTGTCCCAGTACAGCTTTGCTGTGGTTTTGTTAAGTGATGATATGGATAAATAATGAGTACAACTCAATGAGATGGCTGGTTGATTGGTTTCAGTGTTTTCCAGTGGTAGCGTATTTCCCCAAAGGTGAGTATTGCTCCTCTAACATTTCCTCCTCCTCTTTTTTATAACACTGCATGACATGTAGCACTGCAATTCCATTCTGTTTTGTGATTTTAAAGGCTGTGGTCTGACATGTTGTAGAAACAACAGAACCTCTTCATTCAGGGAAGATGTTCCCTGTAATCTTGTTAGTGGCATGGTTATCTGCAGTGCCTTCTTGACATGTATCTACAGAAGTCCTCTGGGGATTTGAATGGAGAAACTATTTTCTTGGAAGAAAACAACACCTTAGCCTTCAGAAGAATGGTTACACATGATTCTTTTTACTAAGATTTGAATATGTTGTATCTGTTGCTACATGTAAACTTCCCAGAGGAACATCAGTAGAAATGTTAAGAGTGCTATGAACAACTCTTAAGCACCTTTAGAAAGTAAGGAGAAATGTACATCTTTTCTACTATTAGGCTTTTTACACTGGGGCTGAAACCTGGGACTTGTGCCCCTTTCTGTGTTCCCTACAATTGTGTACACAGGGAATTTAATTTTGGCTCATGACTTGGATGCCAAATTTCCCCTGATCTCTCCAGGGTGTGCTTTGGGAATGTCCCAGATATGTGCCTAGGGAAGGGGAAGCATGATGTCTTGCTAGGAGAGTGGGGAACCAGGGCCATGTATAGTATATATATGTACTGCAATGTAGCTGTGACATTGCTGTTCTTATTTTTATCTGTTCTTTTTTTCTGTCATTAATTTCTAGAAGAAATTTTAGACGTCTTATATTTTAATTTAACTACTTATGCCATTAAGAATCAAAGATGTAGACCAATTATTATCTGGTCTACATCTTCTTGCTAATTCAGATGGACCTTATGATAGGCTTGTGTTGTTGTGTTCTGAGGGGAATCTTGAGTACAGCATTTCTCACAGATATTAAAAGTTCGGAGTAGAATATGAAATCTGAAAACATTTTTGGTTCTCAGGATAGCAACAGCAATAAAAGCAGTAAGTCAGTTTAGCTAGCTAGACAGTTGTAATTTGTAGAATATATTTGTCAAGTAGTTTGGAAAGAATCCATTCATCAACACTCGCTGAACATTTCTGGAAGGCAAACAGTGGATGTGAGCACAGTGAAGTGGTGGGCAGTGCATTAAAGCACTGCTGACAGTAATGTGAAAGACAAACCATGGTCATGCACAGCTTTCACATCACAAAACGATGTACAGAGTTGGATACTGGCTTCAATGTATTGAAAATGATGGTGACAACATTGCAATATCACAAAGTTAGCATCAGGTAAGTCCCACATATGCTCACACAGGGTCAGAAAGAACATGCAAGTTTGTCAGTACCTATTGAACCAATAAGAGGCTGAAGGTGAGAGTTTCCAGGATTGCATCGTATGATGTGATGTCACTGCTACCAGCTGGAGTGAAAACGGCAGCCCATGGAGCAGCAACATGAGAATTCCCCTTTGAAGAAAAAGCTCAAGATGCAGCCCTCAGTGAGTAAAGTGATGTGCACTGTCTTTTTAGAATGGGAAAGGGGTGATCCTTCTGAGTTTCCTGGAACCCAGACAAACCATCAACTCCAACCACTGTGCTGCAGCACTGGCTAAGCTGAAAGCTCAGACTTGCTGTCCGGCCAGAGAAGACAACAATTTTTCCCTTGCATCAAGCTGTGACCAGACCACGTGCCAGTTGGAAGACTGTGGAGTCACCAGTCTTGGCTGGACTGTCCGACCACACACTCACCATATATAGCCCTGGATTTGGCACCTTCTGACTTCAATCTGTTTGGACCCATGAAAGATGGATACGTGGGCAGCATTTTCCTAGCAACAACCCTGTCACAGCTGCTGTGAAGCAGTGGATCACCTCCACTGGTGCAATTTTTATGAGTGTGGCACGCAGGCTCTCGTTCATTGCAGTCAAAAATGCAAAGCTAGTGATAGTGGCTATGTTGAGAAACAGTGTTTTGTAGCTGAGAAGTTTCTCAATTAAGCAGAGTTATTGTGTTCTTTGAAGCTGTTGTAGTTTCCATGGCAATAAATAGGAGGCATTGCTTTCAGAGTGACCTACTTACAACTCTAGTGGACAAAATCAAAAGGTGTTATGCAGATGATTTTGAAGTTTGAGGAAAGCCAGGTTTTCATTCATACGTATGTGGCAACAAAATGCAACTATCTTGTCGTGCAGCCTTCCATTTATCTAATTGCAAAATACAATTTATGCTTCCTTTGGACTGTGCTAATGCATTTAAAGCTGGACGTCTAATTGAAATATTCTAGTTTTTTTGGCCCAGGGTTTATTAGGCTTTTAATATTACTGTGTCTGTGAGAACTTAAAAGCTTTCTTCTTCACTGAGTCACTGCAATATGTGGTGTTGACTGCCATGTCATGGAAATTAATGTGATGTCTCAAGTGATATCTTAGCAATATCAACAAGAAGGGATAGAGGTGCTCTATCAATCACTGTAAATAATAAGAGTGCTTTTAAAAATAAAATTCTCTCCAATGCTTCCGATTGTTCTATTTGTCATAAGGTTGTTGTTGTGGGGTTGGAGGTTGTTAATTTTTATCATTGATTACAGAATTTTATTCTTAGAAAAAGTGTTTTCATTAACTAGATGAAACAATAATTGGACCCTGTTTATACCTGATAAAAATTTATTTGTTATTTTGTTAATAAGTAAAAATAAACTTGCATTTCTGAACTGGATTTTCATGTCAAGCCATTGCTGTACAGCAGATCTTAACCTGCATTTTGACCTTTACCCATCAGTTTTGGAGAGTGTGAGTTAGAGCTTTCTTTCCCCTGCTTTCTTGCTGACACAAAATGTCCTGAGAGAATTTGACAATGTGTTTGTTTATCAATGCAACTCTTTTTTGAATGTTTTCTGAGCCTTCTGCCTTGTTTTCTATTTTCCAGGTTGGAGAAAGGCAGAGAGTTCTGGTGACAGAAGAATCCTTTGATTCCAACTACTATGTTGCTCACAATCCATTCTATGAGCAGGTACTGTTAATAAACAAGATAACATCTTTTGGGGGTATCTTTGCTTTCTGATAATCTCAGCAACACACTACACCACAGTGAAAAAAAAAATAAGAAAACCTTTTCCCAAGAAAAGTGTGACCATCAGATCTCATTTTTGAGATACTTTCTTTCCTTCTGTGTTCCAAATACAGTTTACCTGAAATTGTGTTTTTTCAGCCGTGCAACATGAGGGCACACTGTATCTCCAAAAAACACTGCATGGTTTCAAGGAGCTGTTAATTACTGCAATAGTTTTACTTTCCAAGTCTCAGAAGCATTATTTTCTTAATAGTTTAAACTTTTAATTTCACTGCTTCTTTTGGAAAATTCTTTCAGGCAGTGCAACTTGTAAAAATTTATATATATATATATTTTTCCAAACAATTAGAAAGATCAGAAACTCTTGTTTAGATTAGCACCCCAGCCTAACATGTTTTATTTTCAAAGTACTTTCTATAAATTATATTTTTTCCATTCAGAAAAACAATCTTTATGAAGTAGGAAGTACAATATCTGCAGATGAAAAAACAGTGAAATTGGCTTTTCTGAATCATCTGTATTTCATTCTGTTTTTGCAGTTGGCTTGTTCTCAATCTTCTTTCATTGATCTGTGTAGTTTGTTTTTACTCCTGTAGTTATTCAGTCGTCCTGTCTGGAGGGGCTATTGGTAATGACTGTGGTTATATAGTTAACATTACTGCTTTGTTCTAATATTTGTTCCATGTTGCATTACAGCAATATGCAATTTTTTAAAATTGTTTTTTCTTAGTGTTAGGTAGTGTTACTGCTTTTGAAACATGTTCTATAGGTAACTGGTTCACTAATTATTTTTTTTTCAACAGTTTCATTCTTTCCTAGGATAAATCTCATTATTTTTCTTTTCTTATACCTCTGACCTCCATCTTAAATCTTGTATATCGCTGTTCCTCGCCTTTATGCCTTATCAGTCAGATTTGAGGAACATGGTTTTGTGCAGAGAGATTAAAAGGAAATTGCTTGGGGCTTTTTAGTATTTAATGCTTTTTTTTAATGAAAGTTTCATTAATTAAAATGAAAGCAGTATGTGAAAAATTGTTGATGTTTTATGGTGTGTTTGTACAGCCCCTAATACAGCTCCTGACTGGAACTGGTAAAGAATAAACTAAATAGAAATTATAACACTTATTTTAAATTGTATTATAGAAAAAGTACTACATTTATTATGGAATAAATATTTCTATGTCTTTTCCCTAAAATTTTATGTGTTTAACAAGGGTAATAACTTTGTGTTCAACAAAGTAAGAACAAGGTTTTGTGCTAGTTACTGACATTTATAGTAGTAAATTTGATGATAGTAGATGAGAAATCAGCCACTCTAGAGTCAGTAAATATCATTTTATGTTTGGAAGCTGAAGCGAACGGTCCTGGTGTGATGTTGTGTTAATTAAGGGAAGTATCAGACCTATAATCTCTTCATGAAGCTTGCCTGTATTAAAAGAGTTTGCTTTTAAAACCACATCGATAGAGCTATACTGATAAACCTGCTGGTAGCTTAGTAACTTTGGTGACATAGTTTAACGTAGTTCACTGAACAGTTCACTGAACTGACCAAAAGATACTGCACCAAAACAGTCGAGATGACTGTTTCTGTTGGTAGAACTTTGTTTCTTAGGAAGAGGGAGGGGGTTTTTGTGAATGTATGCCACGTCTGACTGTTGGTTGCTTATAGTACCTCTCCAGTTTTTCCATTTAAACCAGTCTCTTTCGGAGGTAATAGTTACTTATCCACAAATGTCCCATAGGATTTATGTATACAAATTGCCAATAATTAGATGGAGTACCAAAACTTACAGAGGTTGCAGGCTCAGCGTTGTGGTTTAACCCAGCAGGTGGCTGAGCACCACACAGTCGTTCACTTACTTCTCCTTTGCCAGGGAGAGAATTAGGAAAAAGAAAAAAAAAATTAAAAAAAAGAATGTGTGGGTTGAGTTTAAACTATTTACTAAAACAGAGAAAAGGAAAATAGTTATGAATATCTATATGAATGTATATAACAAGTGATGCACAGTTGCTCACCATCCCCTGGCCCTGAGCAGTCGGAGGGAGTGAGATCCACTCCCACCCCCCTTCAGAACTCCTTCTGCATGGTGTTATATCATATGGAATATCCCTGTGGTTTGTTTGAGTCAATTGTCCTAATTCTGTCCCTTCCCAGCTCCTTGTGCCCTTCACTGTGAATGGCCTTGGCTCTGTACAGCACTGCTTAGCAGCAACGATAAACATCAGTGTGTTATCAGCACTGTTTTTCTCCAAGAACCAAAACATAGCATTATACCAGACTCTGAAAACAATTCCATTCCAGCTGAAACTACAACATACAAATACTTATTTACCTAATTTTCCTCCGATAGAAGTTTGCCCCCAAAAATGTATATGGGAATAAGTGTGATCTAGACAGGTTGTAAAAATACCTCAACTCTGGGATCCTGGCTTTTTATGTTTTCCACTTAGGTCTAGTTACATTTCTAATCTCCAGAATGCAAAACAATCTGCTTTTCTTGGAAGATGCTTGGGAATCTCAATGGAATTCTAGAAGTTCCTGTGGCCACGAACACCTTGAGCCTTTGGGTAAAAAGGGAAAGTACTTGTAATGATTTCTTCTGAGTAGGACAGCAACTTGAAAATTAAAAAATAAAAAAATAAAAGTACCGTGAGGTAGGTGTGAAGAAGAAATCTGTTAGCATTCTGTACTACAAGTGCCCTTGGGAAACCAGTTGGTCTGGATTAAAATGTTGTCATTCAGGTCTGACTTTCTTGTCAGTTTAAAAGAAACACAACCACAAGTCATAGGATCAATTGAGTTGAGAAACACTGAGCTAACACTACAAAGCTCTTGAAGGCAAACTAGAGATGTTACTTACCACGTGTCAGGGGCTGTAGCTTATGCTGTGCCTGAAGTTTTAAATGTTTAAATGTTTAGGAGTTACTCTTATATGTTGCAAAAAGTCTGTTTTCTGAGTGGAAGCTGGAGAGACTGATGCCCTTTGTGGTATTTAGTAACTGTATCTTTATTTGAAAGGTTCTGGTGCCAAAGGATCCTGTGTTAATGGGTAAAATGGTAGAAGTGAATATTTATGAAGCTGGGAAACATTTTATGAAGGGGCAGCCTGTGTCAGATGCCAGAGTTTATGCTGCATCCATCACAAGACCATTAGCAAAAGGAGAAGTTTCTGGTTTAACAGAGGTGAGTAAAAGACATTTTCTGTTTTACTTTGTTGATAAAACAGCATCTGTTCAAGTGTAATGATTTCAGGCTATATATATGTTATCATTTTATAGTTCCCCTTTTATGTATGCATGAAGCTTTAATCTTTTCTAACAGATTGAAATCTGAATTTAAAAGATGCTTTTGCTGATACCCATAGCTTTTATTTGCTGACTGTAAAGGCAGTAATATCCTCGTTCCTTGTTCCAGGGCACAAGATGAGAAGGAACTATTAGAACGGAAAAGATTTAATATAAACAATTATGCAATTCAATGTATTTCATTTCTAATTTAGTAGAAGTATGAATATGTTTGTTTTCCTTTATAAAGTTGTTTTTAAAAATATTTATTGATTACTTGTCTGTTAGAATAGTTCAAAATTTTGCCCAGAGATTCAAAAGTCTTTGATAGGTAGAGGTACTAAGTATTTACAGTATATTTTGGAAAAAGGTCAACATCTGATCTAGTCATGTAAAGAAAATGAAACTCTTTTTAAAAGATATCTGATCCTTATTTTACACCTCACTAGATGTGGCTGTTAGCCAAGTATTCTCATACATTTCATGGAACTCTAGTTGTAAAAACTGATGGGGTGTGAAATGAAAATGTGTATCACATTTCTAAGCATCATTTGATGTCCTTTCCCCAGCACTGTTGTTAGGATCTCTGAAAATATGTAGCTGTAATTTAGCACATGGAAGAAAGGTAACTGGAAGTTTATCATCCACCTTGCTGCTTTTACAGTAAATTGTGGACAAGTATTAAGATAAGAATAGGTATACATATTTTTTTTTAATTGTAAGTGGTCATATTTAACATAAAAAATCATTGCATACCTTGTGTAACTAGGGTTGAGTTATTTGGTATGATAAGGCTGGTTATGATAAACATGGCAACAGTAATGCACCTAGAGTAATGTTTTGGGGAGATCATGAACTTCAAGCATTCAAAGGTTAACTAGCCTTTGAATGAAGTCCACATGTATGTATATATTTGTCTGATAAATTATTGAAAAAAACAGCCCAAATCTTTAAATTGTCTGATTAGACATTGTAACTATTTGAACACTGCTGTTTTTTTCAGTAGAGCATTTTTTAAAATAATGCAATGTAAGAGAACCAAGCCTGTAATTAAATTGAGTATGTGCTACCAGAAGCTATTGCATGGGAGTAAACAAACAGAATGTTGACTGAAATTTTATATGTTAAGAGTGAGAAACAAAATGATCAAAGTCAAAGGGACTGATAATTAACATAGGAAATCATTGAGATGCCTTTAAAAGGTATAAATCTGCTCTTGCCCCTTGAGTAGATATGAACAAGTACTTAGAATGCCCAAATAAAAAGTTACACCAAATTTCCTGCTTAGAAGTTCTTGCGACATCTAATTCTAATCTAAGGTGCTTCTGAACAGAAATCATGTTCCAGTCATAGAATCATAAAATGGTTTGGGTTGGAATGGACCTTTAAGATCATCTGTTTCCAACCCCCCTGCTATAGGCAGTGACACCTCCCTCTAGACCAGGTTGCTCAAAGCCCCATCCAGCCTGGCCTTGAACACCTCCAGGGTGGGAGCATCCACAGTCTTAGTAGGCAACCCATTCCAAAGTCTCACACCCTCCTAGTAAAGCATTTCTTTCTAAAATCTAGTCTAAATCTACCTTCTTTCAGTTTAAAGCCATTTCTCCTTGTCCTGTTGCTACCTGTCCTCATAAAAAAGTCCCTACCCAGCTTTCCTGTAGGTCCCCTTCAGGTACTGGAAGGCCACTAGAAGGTCTTTTTGGAGCCTTCTGTTCTCCAGACCAAAAAGGTCCAACTCTCTCAGATTGTCCTCACAGAGAAGGTGCTCAAACCCTCTGATCATATTTGTGACCCTCCTCTGGACTTAGTTCAGCAGCTCCATGTCCTTCTTGTGTTGGGAGCCCCAGAACTGGACACAGTACTCCCGGTGGGGGGGGTCTCAAGAGAGCAAAGTAGAGGGGCAGAGTCACCCCCCTCAACCCGCTGGGCATGCTTCTGTTGATGCAGCCCAGGATACAGTTGGCCTTCTGGTCTGCAAGCTCACATTGCTGGTTCACGTTGAGCTTTTCATCAACCAGCATCTGCAAATCTTCTCCTCAAGGCTATTCTCAAGCCATTTTCCACCCAGCTTGCATTAGTGCTTGGGATTTGCTCTGACCCAGGTGGACGACCTTGCACTTGACTTTGCTGCCCTCCTCTCAAACCTGTCCAGATCCCTGTGGATAGCATCTCTTCCCTCTAGGGCATCAACTGCTCCACTCAGCTTGGTGTTATCTGCAACCTTTCTTAGCATGCACTCAATCTCACTATCCCTGACACCTACAAAGATGTTAAATAGCACTGGTTCCAGCACCCATCTCTGAGGAATGATACTCATCAGCAGTCTAAACGGTGATTTAAGTGGTATCTAAGTGTCAGCCTAAATGGAGTCATAGAGGATGACTCCCTCAAAAGTAGAGGCCCTGGATCTTCAATAGAATGCCAAGGCTCTCCACCACATTCTCAAAAGGACAGCATAGAGAGCAAAAACCTTGGATAACTTTTTTGTTGAGCCAAGTTATCAAACTTTATAGTAGAGAGAATTTGAATAGAGAGAGAATATGTAGTAGAATATGAATAGTAGAGAGAATATGAATAAAACAAGAATTGAAAACACGTGGCCCTTTCCCTCCCTGCTTTGCACTAAAATGAGGAAGAATTAGGGCCTGCTTTACATTTTGGGATTGAGTGAATGCGTAACCAGCTGCCAGGCAGCTCTTGAGATCAGGCATGTTTTTCTTATCCAGCCATTGTCCTCTGGGCATAAACTCTTCTAGGAACTGACCAGCATCCTGTAGATGACATGTGTATTGCTATAATGGGATAATAATAGCAGATCTTTAGCTACAGCAAATGAGAACGAGCCCAAATGCAGCAGCACAGAATCATGATTTTATATAAAAATGAAGGGAAAGAGTCATTTACCTTTGGAACACCTCAGGTAAGCAGGGATCTCCAACAAGAGATCACTCTCATCTCCACTGCCAACCCTTAAACGACATCTAGGAAGGGATGGATCCTGGCTTTATCCCCTCTACTCACTCATGTGCATTGCTTGCACCTGAGCACCCCTGGGTTGGCCCTGCGTTCCCACCAGGTGCTCAATCACTGGTTCAGGCTATGACTTAATATTTCCACTACAGCACGCTATCTGAAGTACCTGAGAAGATTCAAATGGGTCTCTGCTCTCACCTTATCAGTGGTATGACTTCCTCTTACCTCCATTGTGTTTGCTGGTCTGTGATGGCAGTCAGTTCAGAGTGACATGTGAATTTTAATGTAGATTGAGGTAATTTAGAGCAAAACAACATGACAAAGGGTTGCACTGCACTGAAGTGTCTATGCTTTAGTCCATTCCCATTCAGCAAAGCATTTAGCTCTAATGACCATGAAATGTACTAGGACTGTAGCTTATAGTTCAGCATCCTTGCATAAAAGTGCTTTGCAAGAAGGAAAGAGGGATAGTGCTGATTTAGGGCTGTAAAGTGATTGTACACAGTCTGTAACAGTTCTGTAGGTACTGTTTTGATAGTGTATTCTAAGGACAGTGTTCATTATCAATATTTTCAGTAGTCTGCATAGAACACAGTGAAAGATACGTTTCAAAATGCATCCCAAATGTATTTCTCTCTAATGAGGAGTGTTCACAGGAGAGGGAAATCTTTCAGTTTTTAAGGACATTAACCATAGGACTGAAATTTGAAGTTGAGAGCGCTGTAATGTATAGATGACTAAAGCACAAAACTATCTTAAGCACAAATGCTGTGATAAGGAATTACCTACAGAGGATCAGAGCTTATTTGACTTTTCTATGGTGTTACTTTCTCACCTGCTACATTTCCCTCAATAATTTCTTCTGATTAGTTCAGAGGAAGCACCGAAGGCATACGGTGGATTTGTAAGGACAGTTGTGGCTTCTGTGTTTTTTGACTTTGTTAGTTTGTTGGTTTATGTATTTTGTTTTGTTTTTTACCCTTTTGACTGCATTACTGCGGTAACTGTTTGGTACAAAGAAATGCAAGGTCAACAAATAAAATCAATGGTTTTGATTGGAAAAGAGAGAATTCAGTGTGTCACACTCAGAAATGTTGACAGTTTGTGTCAAACTTTGGTACATTTCATATCTGTGCCAAATTGGAAGCAGGCAAATACTGATAAGATTATTTCCAGACTATTTCTGGCATACATTTTTATCATACTTTTTCAGTCTGCTCAAAACACACCTAACACATCCATCCATTTTTATATATTTACTAGTGATGTAGAGTTTCTTAGCAGTTAATTTATTTTCTAAAAAAAAAAAAAAAAAAGTGTTAGTAAATTGCTTAAAATAAGATCTTTACTTTCAGTAACATTAGGCTCTGTAGCAGAATTTATGAGGCCAGGGAGGGTGGAGGAATGCTGGAGCCAAGCTCGGGTTAAAAAGATGTCAAAATGATTTGTCTGACTGATTGTAGGGGACATATTAAAATACACAGCTGTTTACCAGAATTAATTTTTTATTTCAACATGCATTTTTGATAGAAGTTGCTCAAAAGTGAATTGTGTCTACATTGCAGTGTTTTCAAGGTAGTTAATTAAGGGCAAATACACTTAGTAATTTCAATTACCGGAATTTAAATCTAGTATAGATTTCTTAAGGCTTGGAATGTGCAGTTGCCAATTCAGTAATAGAACAAGGTTTAGAGGATATATGGTGATAGCTGAAATCAATAAAGGATGAGCAGAAGGCAGTTTTGGATTTGGTTCTGGTGAATTTAGCGTAGGACGTGTGGACTGGGTATTGATAGTAGACATTACAAATGATTGCTAGACAAAACAAACATCTCACAAGTAACTAACTGCAATTAAAAATAACAGTAAATAAAACTTTTCCTCAATAATTAGTTCTTCTAGAAAGCGAATGGTACAGATATGATA